TAGAAAGATTTTGAAAAATGCACTAATATAAAAAGCAAAAAGACAATGTAGGTGCCAAGAGCACCTGCATGGATTGGGAAGCACAAGTGCCCAAGAAATACGTGAGAGGCTTACAACATGGCAGCAGTCTCCACCGTGCCACAACAAAATATGGGCTTGCTTACGCTGCGTTCTGTCTAAATGATATCAGATCTGTTAGGCAGAACTCTATGCACCAGGCATGCTGGAAGTTGTCAGTCTTTTTCTGTCTAAAATTGCATAGGATTGCCCTCTTAATCACCGATACCACATAACATCGAATGATGGCATTTAAAAGGAAAAGCCCATCATTTCATTTTGGAATGAAAATTTTTAAGTGATTTATCTTATGGAAAGTGAGCCATTCATCACAGGCTCTTTCAATCTCCCCTGCTTTGGCAGGCTCTGGTTCCTACATCTTCCTACCCACCCAGGCTTATAATGAAATCATGTTGTAGCGAAAGGTTGTTTTAAAAAACAAATCCGAATTCTCCTTAGAACAGCATTTCTACATTCTCCCTTGTTCAGCAAACCCTATTACACGAGAGGATTACCCTTACAGAGAAATGTGGCACCCGAGGAGCTTTTCTTTTCAAGCCCGCTTACAGAAATCCTTCCAAAATGGTTGTCTTTTGTTCAAAGATTATATGGAGTTGATTCTTATAGTTAAGAGGAAGAAAAATACACCACAGCAGTTGTCTATCCCTTTCCCCTCAACATATTTGGTGCATTTAGAGGTTGGATGCTTCCCTTCTTCCATCACAGCAGGGTAGCCATGGCTACGAGCCTAGAAATGAAGCAGAACAAAGGCCTCCAAGGGGCTCTTCTTTGTCATGCCCCATAACATGGGAGGGGGCTGAATTGCTACTGGTGGAAAAAGGGATCCAGAGTTTGCAGATGGCCGTGGTTCTTCCTCATGGCCTGAACAAAGCCAGAGTTGCTTCCATTCCATTGCACAGGTTGGCACAAGCGGTATCATCCCACACACACACACCCCCCCCCCCCCCAGCAAGGGATCACTACTAGACACATATCCATCACCTGAGCAAGCAGCAGAGAAGAGGCTAAGGTCAGGGCGCACAAGAGGCAAGCATTAATATTGGTATCTCCAATCTGTTTTAGCAACAACATCCTCTTTCATTTTTCACTGCGTGGATGGCAGGTGGGAAGTTTTCAGAGATCCAGATTTGGAGCCCCGCACCTACTCTGGAGCCAAAATGAAAAGCAGGCATCACTGCCCGGCACACTTGCAAAGAAGCCTTAGGGCAGCTTCTGAGGCTTTCAGTGCCAGCACAAGGTGCAACTACTCTCTTCAAACACCGAGCCGCTGCTGTGCTGTCATTCTTGAGCCTCACATCATGTGTCCCAGAGGGGAAAAATACATTTCTTTGAAATCAATAGTCATATGTATGGTGCCCATTAGTATTTTGGCTGGTAGAATGCGCCAGAAACCATGATCTTGAATATAGCAAAAATAAGTAGTCTTCAAACCCAAACATTCCTCCGAATCTACTATCTATTAATAATATTAATATATTGTAATCTAGGAATATAATAATCTATCTGAGCAGTATTATTGTTTCATCAGCATGCTTGTTGCTGTTGTTACCATTTGTGGCATACCCCTCTTTCCTCTTCTTGCAAGGAACCAAGGCAGCCCACCAGATCCCATTCCTCTGCTTTATTCTCACAAGAACCTGTGAAGCAAGCTAGACTAAGAGCCAGTGACAGGCCCAGCACCACTCCATGACCTTCATGGCCCAGTGGGGGCTAGAACCCAGATCCTCCGGCTCCCAGAACAACCATCTGACCACTGCAACATGCTCGCTCTCAAAGTAGCTGGCAAATACTGATTGCATCCTGACTAAGATCATCTTCTTTCTAAACATGTTCTTGATGGGTTTTAGGGTTAGGGAAGGCTAATTAGGAAGGTAGACAGCAACAATAGGGTTTTGTTCCTTCATTAATAAATTGCAGTGTCTATTGAATCATGCCCAAGGGAACTATGGGAGCAATGGGAAATAAAGTTCCTTGCTTGAAATCTCTCCCACTGAAGTCAGTGGGACTTTACCAAAACAGGATCATGACCAGACTTAACACCCCAGAAAAGCCAGCCGCCCAAATAATTCACTCGCAGGCCTTTGGGAAATGCTATTCCCCAAGACAAGGGATGCAGGTGGCGCAGTGGTTTAAACTGCTGTGCTGCTGGGCTGGTTGATTGAAAGGTCGCTGGTTCGAATCTGCACAACGGGGTGAGTTCCCGTTGCTCCGTCCCAGTTCCTGCCAACCTTGCAGTTCGAAAGCATGCAAATGCAAGTAGATAAAAAGGTACCACTTCGGTGGGAAGGTAACAGCGTTCCATGCACTTCGGTGTTTAGTCATGCCGGCCACATGACCACGGAGACTGTCTGCAGACAAACGCTGGCTCCCTCGGCTAGGAAACGGAGCCGAGCACCACCCCCTAGAGTCAGACATGACTGGACTTTAATGTCAAGGGGAAACCTTTACCTTTAGCTTTTTATTCCCCAAGACTCCCACCATGCCCAGAGGGTTTTCAGATCGTCTTTCCGTAGCTGAGGGTGGGTGGTAAATGTAACTTTTAAATGAAACAAGACTTCATTTTTCAAAGAAAATGAGTAACTTTGGGGAAGTAAGCCAGCTTTCTAATTATGATGCTCAAGAGTTGTGCTCCTTACCTGCCTCTTTAATGAATTTCACCCTTCAGCAAAGTTAAACCAAAGAACACGTGCACTCATTTGTCACAGTAGCCGCTGCAGGATTCTTTGACGGATTACCTGTGCTCACTGGCCGTTATTAATGCGCATAATGCAAAGTGGCCCCTGCTAGTCATTCCCCGTGTCTGTGTTGCTCAGACAGTGCATTGTGAGAAGGCTCCAAGTGGAGCAGCTTTTATGGTGTAGGTCTTGCACTTAGAACAGAGTAGTACAGAACTAAGATGGAACCGGGAAGCCACTGGTTCAACTGCCATTTGGCTGCAGTGTGGGAATCAAAGTGTCACATTAAGACTGGGGAGTTCTGGACTGAATTGCTTTAAAGCTTTCAGGACAACCTTGCACCAGCCATTCTCTGTCCACCGAACTCTCTCAGGGTTGTGAGGAAGCTAAAATATGTGGTGAAAAATCATGTGTAGTACCTTGAGGTCCTTGGAGGAAAGGCGGGGAAAAGGTAATATAATAAAAATAATCTAGGAAAACATAAACTTGATATGTGCCCTTAGAAAAGCCAGTGCCTCTCTTAAACCTTCCCCCACCACAATATCATCGTAATATTACTCACCTATTTTAAGGATTTTTGGAAGGATTATCAAAATAATCCATGTGCAGTGTTTTGAACTGTCATAAAATACATTATTATTATCATCATTATCATTATTATGGTGCATAGATCTATGGATATTCCTTGTTATGACTACAAATAAAAGTCTAGGCAATGTATAATATGAATGTTTTGATGTGATATGGATGCAGTGTCCCACCTTCCATAATGCTTAAGATGATTTTTGTGCTACTGTTTAGTTTACTTGAGATTCAGCATTATTGTATTTCAGTTGGACTCTGTTTGCCGTGTCCCCACCCAGCCAGGCCCCTAGAGAAAACTGAAAACAAATGAGGCCCAGCAGTCAAAAAAGGGCAGTGCAGGAGCAGAGCCATTCAGAAAATAGTTTGGAGTTGGGCATAACCACCTGGCAATGGCCAATAATATTTTCTGTGAGTATCTAATCCCCCTTGAGAAAGGGCAAAATGCTTTGGCACAGTAATGTCCTGGTGGCAAGGCATTCCCTAGTTCGGCAGTCCTCAACCTGAGCACAGACCCTGCCTTTGGAGGTGTCACTGCTCAGCCCTTCATTTCAATGCGAGGCTCGGTGGACGCAGTAACTGGCCACCCCACAGCAGATGCATGAAAGCTTCCTTCAGCGATCATCTCTGTTGCTGCTGCACCTCCTACTTGCATTTTCTCTAGGCAGACATTTTGGGAAGTCCAGATGTAGCACCAAGCAGAGCAAGGAAAGGTGACCAGGGCACAGACTGGAACTGGTAGAGGCTCCTCATCCTCCTGACCCACTTTTCTCCCTTCCAAGGCACATTGGCAACCTCAGAGAAAGCATGGCTCTTTCCATGCTGGCTGTGAGGAGGCTGGGGCCGGAACTCCAAAGAATCCTTTGGCCTCCAGATGAATTGAGAAGGCCATAGGTTTGCTCTCCAGAATGAGAAGACTTCTATGTTTTTCCTTTTCTCCTCCCTGCCTCTTAAAATCTTGCCCATCTTCTGTCATTTCTTTTCCCCCTTTCCTTTTACCCGTGTCATGTACCCTATCACCAACCCAATGGCCAGTTTCTTTCATGCCTTCCTCCCGAGTCCCTTCTTTAATTTCTTCCATTGTAGTCCCAGAGGAGGTGAAACTTTTTCCGTCTTCTTCCAAGCCCTTGCTGCTCTTTCCCCTTTCCTCTTCCCTCAGACTTCTTAGTTCCACCATTTCCACCTCCCTGGGTTAAATAACCAAGTTTATTTGATGGATTTATTTGCAATATACACAAAGAGGGTCTGGATATAAATTTGGATTCAGTCCATTGTGATTTTTTTTACTACCTTGTAATCCCCTTTGGAATCTGAAAGACAGGGTAGAGAGTTTTTAAAATTAACAGTAAATAATATCAAGAACACATGTAACTGTTTCAGCGCTAGTGACTTTGACAATGAAACCAAAGAAGTAAAAGTCTGTTTAATCTTGTGCTTGTACCTTGAAGCTGGAGCATCCCCTTTTTCAGGTAAAGAACAGTGATCCCTTTTCCATGTTTCCATGTTCATGGAACAGCCCAGTGATCAGGTCTTGAGCTAACCTTACCTATTCCAGTCTTAGAAATGCTGAGTCTTTAATTAGCACATGTAAGACCATTTCAAATGAAACATTTCATTTTATCTAAGATGTTCCTGCAAGGAAAAATACAAATGCCTTTTTAAAAATCAGCCCTGTACATATTTGCTTCTTGTTCCAAGCCAAACAACAAACAACTGAAAAAGCATATTTATATTCAGACTGAACCCTTCTGAGAATGGAATAATGACCACCTAATCCAACACATGCATACTATGCAAGGGAAAATCACCAAAAAATATCAAGAAAGGATATGCTTCAATTCAGTTCAGAGAATGTGGAAATTGAAGTGAGAAAAACCATTTAAATGTCACTGCATCGGTGCCCTTAGAATAATCCGCAACCCACCTCAATACCACTCCCATCAAATGTTCCTGTTCTGATTTCTTAAACCTGTTGCCATTATTTGCCCTTTGAAAGTGCCTGGATATAAGTAGCTGGAGAAACACCAATAACAGGTAGGGTATCTAAACTATGCATAGATTAACAGGCTGCAGCCTTCTCACAATTGATGCCTTGGCCATGATCACAACTTTAATAGCTTGCTGGAAGCCGCATGTGAAACACATACGGACGTACATGTTACGAGAGTTGTGGCAATATTTCATAAATGGGCCCGTGTACAGTCCACATGCCCAAGCATTTCCCATGCACTTATGGCTGCACACGAGCTTAAGCATCTATGCAGAGTGAGATGCTGCATGTTTGAAGGCATCCTATATAAACAGTCAAGGAAAATAAACATCTTTTGGACTACTTTCAATCACCAGATATAGTCAAAGGTCTCTGCCCAGTTGCTCCATGTTTATATCACCACCATGATGTCGTCCAGAGGTTTTCGTGTCAAGTCCGGCACAGTCGCATCCTTAGTGGGATACCCAATGGGCAACAGCAGGAGAAGCTTTTCATTCGCTGGGCGTCTGAGCAGCAGTCTTAGGCGTCGGCCGCAGTTCAGGGGTGTAGAGGTCACTGTCACCAGGCCCACATTCTAAAACAAAACAGAGATGAGAAATCCTGAATTACTCTTGAACAACTGTAAGAATAATGCATTCTTCACTCTCCCTGCTAATCGCTGTGAACCTCCTGGGTACCTATCTGCTCCAAGTTCTCATCAGAATTTCTATCATTAGAACATGGAAAACATATACATGTTTAAATATATTGACATAATCTTGAATACCAACACATACTTATATAATTTAAATATTAAAATTAACCTAATGCATGTCACCAATGCAAATCAACATAAATCCACATAAGCAACACTGTTCATTTCCATGGATGTCCCAAATTACACCTGATACTGTTTGTGCTCATTAGATTCCTGAGCCACAAGAATTCATCATACTTTTGAACTCATTTTGCTCAGAAAGCTCTGGCACTAGAGTTCAGGTCCACCCGACTTAAAGCACGATCATTTTTCCTTGATGTGAAATGGGATAATCTCTTTTCAATCAGCAAACATTTCTGGGCTTTAGAAGGTATTAATTATGTTTGCATTTCAGTTCAATGGTTTTAAAAGGTTAATGGACAAATTTATGGGAAATGCAGCTATCAATCACTACTAATCGTAGTGGCAATATATTATGGCCAGTCGCACAGGCAAGTTACAGTTCCTGGGGAACATGAGCAGAAGGGGTTTTGCATTCCTGTGCAGTTGTGGGTTTTCCACAGGCATTCGCTTGGCTGGGATGCAAGCAGATGGCTAAATTAGGTCTTTGTACTAATGTTCCTCAGTCTTGTTCTGATGTCATTGTATCAAGTTTAGTTATTCTAAGTTTAACTAGCCTATTTTCCATTGATGTTCCATGTACTATGATTATGACCTTAATAATATCACACAATACATGATGATCTGGAGTACACCATTGAAAGACAGTGTGGTGTAGTGGTTAGAGTGTTTGGACTGAGACTTGGGAGATCTGGGTTCTACTCCCTACTCAGCTATGGGGGCCACTGGTGACTTTTGGTCAGTCACAGACTTGCGTCTAATACACCTTATAGGTTTTTTTGTGAGGATAAAATGGGTGGAAGGAAGATCATGTAAGTCACATTTAGTTCCTTGGAGGCAAAAAGGTGGGATGTAAATGTGATAATTAAAAAGTAATAATAAAATAAACAAAACTATGCCTGTTTCCAGAGAGGTTGCCTGCTGGTCTGTTGCAGCAAAAGCAGCAAAGTCTCTCATGGCATCTTAAGGGCAAACAGGTTTATTATGGGATAAGCTTCTGATGAAGTGGACTTTTGTCCACAGAAGTTTATAGAACAATAACTCTGTTCATCTCTAAAGTGCTGTTTTCACTTTATGATGTCCCTTTGCTATGATTTGCCTTTATGCAAGAGGTCATAACACGAAGCCACCATTAAGAAGTTACAGGGTCAGCGTGCCTTCATGGCTGCAGGTGCAGGGAACCAGCGCACCGTCCTGCATGCCAGTTCTTCTAGGAAGCGCCACTGAGTTCCCAGCACCCAGAAACGAGCATTTCCACTCATTTCCGGGGTCCCTTTGACATAGCGCTAACTCTCCATGGCACCTGCAGTGGGTACTGCTGGTGCAACGGAACGGACAAGAGCACCGCGACAGCAGGGGATACTGGCCCAGGTTTTAGCATTCTTAACATCTATTTATTTATTATTTATTTATTTAAAACATTTCTATGCCGCCCCATCGCAATAAGCCTCGGGGCGGCTCACAACATCAATAAATAAACCATACAATAAAACCCCAATACAATAAAACCCCAGTGCCATAAAACCTCAATAAAACTTCAGTGCATTCGTGGCTAAAAATTAAAAAAAAAAACCTAGTTAAATAAATAATGTCTAGCTTCCCCCAAAGGTTTGTTGAAGGCAGAATTGCCCACCTGACCTACTCAGAGGAAGATACAAATACAGCTTAGAATGCACTTAGCCTTAGCCCTTCCCCACAGGAGACGTTTGTTTATTTATTTATTTATTTAAAACTTTTATATGCTCTCCTTTATATATAACATCTCAGGACGGCTTACAACAATTAAAATCAAAATCCAATAAAACAATCAATATAATAAAATGATATATAACCAATAAAAATAAATCAAATCAAAAGTGACTGTTAAAATCATTAAAATACTAATTTTTAAAATAACTTTATCATGTGTTTATTGTGTGCCTGTGGGAATTGAGTGGGCCCTTCATCATTCTCTGGGGCCTCTCCCACACCTCCTCTGCAGCTTCATTTTAGATTGAGGACAAGGAGGTATTGACTTTTAAAGGCAGCACAAGGAGGAATAAAGGCTTGTGTAGTTCAGCAGCACCCCCTGAGTCTCTGCAAGGCAGAGAAAGCGAAACCCAGGGCAAAAATAGATATAAACAATGCTCTCACTCCACCGTAAGGAAAACAAATGACACCTCCATGTATACCCAGGCTAAATCCCTCCGGCAAGAAACACTTCTTCAAGGAGCAGGGGCAATTTGGAGAAAACCAGCTTGGTCCCAACAAAGGGTTTAGGTAAATGCTTGAAGTGGTAATTCTAAACAGACTTAGTCTAGACTGAATTTTCTCTAGACTGTGCTCAGAGGACTTAAGTTAACTCACCACAGTATGGCTGCCTGCATATTCTAGAGACATTCAAAAAGAAACTGGACAGCCATCTGAGAGGGATGGTATAATGTGGTGTCCTGCAACAGCAGGAGGTTGGACTTGATGGTCTTCATGGCCTCTTCCAACTCTACTATTCTATGATTCTATATCCTGTTGATCTACGTGGTAGTTCTTGAACAGGTGCTTCTCCGTGTGCTCATCTGAAGGTTCTCCTCTCCCACCTGCATTTCTACTCTAGTAGGCTTGGGTGAATGCAGGGGAAAGATGCCCACCTTCCCCATCTCACCCAGGTAAAAGCTGGTGCTGGTTCCCTAGAGGTCACCGCCTGGAACACTGTGCACGTTTCACCCCGGTCTTGCTCTTACCCACATTGCAGGCATACCTGTAGTGCAGCAAGGAGAATGCCGCAGGCAATAGAAACACTGATCTCATTGTAGTAGTGGGTTTTCTTTTTCCTGTCTGGAAGGATTCCATGCACCTGCTTGAAAATCAGGATCAGGTAGGGAGCCGTATCCAAGTATTCTTTGATCCAGTTTGTTCTACAACAGGATTATTTTTTAAAGGTTATACAAGCTAAAGCCTCAGACGGAGCATAAAAATTCTGAAAATATTAACTGCCCATCTCATTTAAAAACAAACACATAATCAAAAATAGTTTCAAATCTTTCTACAAAATCATTCTATGAAAAGCTGCCAGGAGAGAGCAAGTATCCGTTTTCTAGAGTGGAGGAGGAATGAAGTTGTGGTCAGAGACTTGGTCTGCCCACACACAGGCTATATTTTGCTTTTGTTGCTTTTATTATTTTTGGCTTGACAGGGGGTCTAGACAGACTGAAAAGTCTATACCCCTCCAATAAAAATAGATTCCTAAATGGAGATAAATTCATTGTACTTGAACAGTGGACACTTCTGATATTTGAAAGTGTTCTCTTGGGCTTCCCATGTAGACTTTAGAAAACAGGAGCAACACAAAAGAAACTGAATATTTTCTAAACAGTAAAATAGATTCTTTAAAATAGGCTTTCAGAGTGTGGCAAACTTCTCAGCATTCATCACAGATATTGTATCATTTATTTAATTTGTATAAAGGCCCCCGTTAGCATCACGCTCTCTGGGTGGCCATTACAACAAATATGGCTAATCTCATTTGGAAACATTCAAGCTAAGCTTTTCAAAAATATCCTACATTTTAAACCAGAATCATCAATACCCTGGTATTTTATTTATTATGTTTGTTGTTTTTCTGACAATAGTCTCTTAAATAAATAGTCTTTTAAAATCTTGCATTTACTTACCTGGGACTAAACCCATTGAAAACAGAGTCACATACTTCCAAGTAAGTACACACTGGATAGATTGTGCTATAAGAGTGCTTACATATCTTAGAATAATAAAATGATGGAACAAAAGCTAGATAAATAAATTACATTAAATTAAAATAGAAATTCAGAGTAGCAGATAACCTTTTGAGTTGCAATCCTGAACCAATTTATATATGTGACCAATGCATGAAACCTCTGTGGACATCAGACCTGGATTCAAATTATACAGTGCTATACTCTTTTGGCCATCGCCAAGAACAGAGGTGGTGAACCTTTTTCAGCCTGAAGACTGAATTCAATTATGGAAAAGTTTTCAGGGGTTACATTCCAGAAGTGGGCACAGCAAATGGCAAAATGGGATGAGGACAAAGACAAAATGAGGGAGGTCAAAACAGAAAAAGAAAGAAAGAAAGAAAGAAAGAAAGAAAGAAAGAAAGAAAGAAAGAGCGAGCCTATTTTCTCTTACTGGCATGGAACCATGGTGTAACTACCAAAATGCACAAAATGCCAATCTTTCATGATTGATTAGACTGCATGTTTATATGGAATGGAATCGTGATGCAAGAATGGAAGGGCACCCATGTTATAACTTTGTATTAAGCCCCCCAAAATGAATCTTAAGTTTTGTGTTTCAGATTTTGAGACTTAAAACCAACACTTTGAATTGCACTTGGATTCATTAATTTATGTAGTACATTTCCTTATTGTCTAACAGGCCAAGCTATCTGGGCATTTCACAGTTCAATGAAATATAATATAAAATTAATATTAAGATATTAAAACAGTTGGAATGCAAGTAAAAAACATGAGCAATAGAAGTCCTGATTTTAGAAAAGTTTCATCACAGGACTTCAGACTTCTGGGAGTACAGCAAAGTCTTAGTCTGGTGCTGAAAAAAGGGTGGGGGGAGCAATGTTGGTGCTAGGGGAACCTCAGGGAACAGAAAATTCTGCTTTCAACAGGCCACCACCAAGAGGACCCTCTCCCTTGTTGACTGCTGAATCTCCCCTGGAGGAGGTCTCAAAGGCCGATTAGAGTGTATGGGAAGGTTCATAATGGGAGAGGTGTTCTATCAGGTACTGAAGTCCCAAGCCTTGGGAGGCTTTAGAGATTAAAGCCAGCATTGTGAATGGAGGGGATATATGTATACTACCAGGGTGGATATAAGTATATTGCCCAAGATACATCTCACACATTTTGATCATGGACCTATTCAGAAAAAATAACCTTCTTTTAGCAATAGAAGTGGAGCAGTCAACATTGACAGTACCTCAGTCTTTTCACGTCATTAACCCATCTATCTCCCATTCTTTTCTTGTAGTTTATTTCCTCCTCCTCTTCAATGATCTCCCGGATCTTATGTTTCATTTCTTTATCTTGGACTATTACAAAGGTCCAAGGCTCAGTGTGTGCCCCACTGGGAGATGTTCCTTTAATCAGATAAAAAGAAAAATAAATGTTCACGTGAAAGAAAGCTGCTGTACTAAAAGAGATGGGAAATGAGCTTTAGACCTTTGAACATCCATGAGATCCCAGCCTACTTCCTAAAATGGGCTGATTGGATGGATGGATGGATGGATGGACAGATACTGAGAGCAAGAGGAAGCTGAGGCATTGACTTGTTGAATAATGATGCATAGCAGATGTGTAACTCAGGAACAGCCACAACAGATTTAGCGGCTTATTTCTTTTCATACTTAGGGTGAACATAAGATAGAGCTGGGTCTGTTGCAGGTTTCTGGATGATTTGCAGAAGATTGGTAATGATTTTCAGTTCTCATTTAATTAATTATAAATATTATTTAACTATAATTTGTTTATTATAGGTTTTGCTCAGGTTCCCATTTTTCTCACACTAAATTTATTCCATCCAAATTCTTCACTGGATCGTGTGCATTTTCATTCACATTTTTAAAAATCTGCACTTTTATATATATGTTTTTCAGGTATACGCATTTTTGGGCGCACTTTGCAAATGCCTGAATTTCCCTCAACTACATAAGTATTTTGATGGTGCATAATTTTGCAAAGAGATGCACTTTTACTTTTGTTTTGCCTGGTTTCTGACTGTTTAAAAAAATAATAATTGGGTAGCGTGCCTTGACACACAAACTGAACAAATTCCTCTCCGGTTCCTAGTGGTGACTGAATTAATCTAACAAGATGGTTACCCAACAGTTCAGTCATCCACAAGGAATCCATTCACACAACGCATTACCTGCTGTTTTAATCACGTTGTCAATTACTTCCATTGGAACCGGCTCATCACTTATAAACCTGACTGATCGTCTCTTATTGAGAAGCTCATAAAAATCCTTTGATCTCTTAACCATGTCTTCTTCAGAGTAACGCTCTGCTGAAAAGGGGATATGAGCAATGTTGTCCTCCAGTCCTTGCCATTCAGCATCATCTGAGGGGATGGAAAATAGAGGGGAAAGTTACACAATGTTTGTTGAGGGGATTACATAACTGAATGGGAAGCGAAAAATATTTGAGGTGGATTTGTTATCGGTGTGAAGCATTTTGGTCAATGTTTTCCCCACAGAAAACACAGCTCCTAGATCTTGAGGGTAACATTAAGCACTGCATTCAGTTGCAGTTTCCAGTAGCATGATTTTGAAACCTTGACTGGAAGAAGTCATTGCTACTACCGGTCCACCTAACTTGATTAGTGGGCCTAAGGAGAAATAAGCCACTTCTGGTAATGGTCTGAAACACAAGTCTCTTACCCTGTCCCACACCTTTTTCACAGTCTCATGGCTGCTGGACATGCTCTTGTTTCCCTCAGTTACTGGGTCTGTTTCTTTCCCTGTGCTCTCACTCCATGATTCCTGTAAGCCACATGTGATTCTTCAGCACAACACAACACCACTACCACTCTTTTTTATTCAGGCCTCTCCTGCATGCTTGTACCTTCAATCTCCTTTCTGACTCATTCCAACCATGGTCCTTCTCTGCCCAAGGGAAATTGGCGTAAGAACCATGGGAAATATACATTATAATGCCTATATTTTTCTGCCAATGCAAATGCAGCACTGGATCGAGACTGAGAGCAGACGTGTTTCCAAGAAGATACCATACTGCCTGTGCAATAACCTCTTCAGAAAACACCTTTCTCCGAATGCCAATGTTGGAAGAAGCATCTTATATGTTTATATATAGGAGGTCTGTGGTGACACCTCAACTCTTGAATACCCTTGGAAGAACAATATTATCATCATCAACTCTGGATTCTGTTTTGGTACCTAAACAAAATGATGAATTTAGTTCATATTAGTTTCAGATTGATCCATTGTTTGATAGTTTGCTTGGCTGACTATTTTGTCTTTCTTACAGCTGTAATTTTATTGCTGTCATGTTGTTTTTGTTTTTAAACATATTCTATGTATAACATCATGTGCATGAAGGAACAGTTTACAAAGTTTTATAATAAAAAAATAAAATACATGAAATACAGGAAGCACTGGCAGCTCAGTATGGAGTTCTCTCTTTGCCCTCCAAAATGTATAGAAAAACACTCTACAGCCAGATTCCATTACATTGTGCATTTCCTTCCCCCATCAGTGGTTGCGGAACATTGTTTCCCCTCTCATTTCACGCCCGATAGTCCTTTGCATTTATCATCATTGCTGGCTCTGCAGGAATGGATGAGTTGCGCAAATCAAGCAATGACTGAATGTGAGATTGTGCAAATGCCCCCCAAATTAGTCTATGGATGGTGGAGGAGGAGGAACTGAACCAGGGAAGTCGCACAGGCTTGGCACCTTACCAACATGTTTAGCTTGTGATCTTGTTAGTGCTTTTGGACAGGGCATGCTCACATGTTTTGTGAGCAAAACCAACATTCTTATGCATCCCAATGCAGGGCACCTGCTTTGCATAGAAAAGGGCCCAGATTCAACACCTGGCATCTCCAGGTAGAGGTGGAAAGTCTGCCTGATATCCTGGAAAGCTCCTGGCTGTCACTGCTAGCAAGCCGGGACAAGATGGACCAAAGGTAAGATTCAATATAAGGTGGTTTCCTCTGTTTCTCTTGAGGAGGAGGAAGGGAAGTACCCACTATTTTTTGAGGTAGACCTACTTTCTCATAATGTGCAGTTGTGCCCTGAGAATCCAAATTCAATACAATATTGTAGCTTTTCTGGAAATCTGTTAGAAATATAGATGTGTGACTGTGTGTGAGGTGACCAGTGTTTGTGGGCTATGACGATTATCCAGAATCCCAGCTTGGAAATATATGGAAAAAATACATGTTATTGGTTCTGTTTTTTAAATAAAGCCAATTGTGGTAGGCAGATTGCAATTCTGACCTTGGCTTCTTATACAATCAATGAGAGCTGGCTAGCTTTGTAAACACTCCTTCCAGTGCTGCTACAAAACTAGTAAAATATTAGAGTTAGACCTTCATTAATATGTAAGCTATTTAAAATCCATTTGGAAAAGGAGTGGCACACGTGTGATGGAAAACTAATACTAAAAGCTCTCATTAACAAGTCTGAAGTTCAAATTGTATTGATGCTGTTCTGACAATGAAAAAAGATCTCCACATATTCTGTTTTCGGCTGTATTATGGCTTGGGATAGCCACTGTCCAGCAGAGATATACAGCACAATTCAATCTATATTCACTTGGAAGTATGTCTCATTGCTGCCAGGTTAATCTGTGCACAGTTGCACCCTAACCATTCTGAAGCCAGTTGGATCAATGGTTTGCCCTGTAACGATACATATTCCTAGCTGGATCCAGCTGAAGTCAATGGGACTTATTCCAGGGTAGACACGAACCAGATTATGCCATCGAGAACACATTCTGTGTTGGATTGTGATTATTTTTATAACAGTATAACTGTGTTTGTACAGCAACCTGCATTGCAGAAGTTAATAAATAAATGCAGCCCATCATGTATAGAGCCAGTATCCCTCTGTCATGGAAGGATTAGAGGATATATCAGTTAGGAAACTAGCGAAGGACTTTTATATTGCTCTCCAACAAGAATAGGACAGCAACATACAACTCCTGAATCCATCCAGATACAAATTAGTGTAGCACCACTCGGGTCTTTTCTACACAAGGGTGATATCCAGTTCTAATCCATGATATCTACTTAGATCACAGAACTGAAATCCAAGCAATTCTTCCTTTCCTGCTTTTTGACCAAATAACCTCTAGGTAGCACTGCAACATAGCAGAATAGTGCAAATACACAAGTAACAAGAACATCTTTCAGTTTAACAATTTAATACTGCCTGCTCTAAAACAAAAACAAAACGTTTAGACACAAAAGCAATGCTGGATGGTCATGGCACTACCTAGAGAATCTTTAGAAATAAGCAGTAGGGAGGGAGGTGCGTGCGATATGCCTGCCTCATGTAGGAGATCTGCCCCCCACTTGACGAAACTATGCAACAGCTCCATCTATACAGCTCTGAATATCCGGTGCTGGAGCAGAAAAATTGGGGGTGGAGAATATCATTTCTAGGCTGCTCAGAGGCACGTGGTGACCCACTCTTGGAAACGCAAAATGGTCCAGATGGACTTTTAGTCTGATCCAGGCAATTCTTAGGTTCTTTCGATTATGAACTTTATTTAATGGCTGGCTGGGCAATGCTAGAAGTTGCAGGACCTTTTTCTTCCTAAACATGCATGGAATTGCAATCCTAAGGAGAGATATTATACTTGCTAAATAAATAGCCTATATGAAATGTTCTGATTAATAGTTTCATTTGCAAATTGTGACACTGTAAATGAGTCTTGAATTGCATTTTGATTTAGTTTCTGCTTTAGATTTGTCATCTTGTTTTGACTGGTAATTTTTTTCCATTCTTGACACTGATACAAGTTTTGATTAATACATTAAGAACAGAATTGCATGCATGCTTGGACAGAAAAAAATCCTACACTCCCAGCATTCTGTTGGTGGTGGTGGTGTTGTTACACTACATCTTGTTTTTGGCTCTTGTGGAGAGCCCAAGGCAGCTTCCATAGCTCCATTTTATCCTCACAACAACCTCCCTGTTAGGCTGAGAGTCTGTGACTGGCTCAAAGACACCCAGTGAGCTTCATGGCCAAGCAGGGGCTAGAACCCGATATCCCAGGTCCTTAGCCCAAGACTAACCACCATACCAACTAGCTCTCATTTTAGGATTTCTTCCTGCTCAAACATGCATAGGATTGTACCCTCAAACAATGAAAAGGAACAGATTACGTTTCTGTGAGTTTTCAACATCAAGTCCCATGTAGATTGCAGTATAGTGGCTCTGTCAGGATATAACTAAGATATATAGCAAATTCTGCCCTCTCCAGGAATGGACATACCTACTGAATCTATCTAAACTGGGGAAATCTCTGTAGATTAACTAGATATCACAAAGCTGGAAAATGAGGAGTGTTAAAATTGAACATATGTCCCAGGGATAAAGCTAACAGCTCTTCATAAAAGTGTCATAAAAAACAACAATAAAAAGTGTGCAATTTCAGAGGTAGGCTGGTGACCCTGCCAGCTCATCAATCTGGTGTCTACTAGAAGTTTTGGATTACGGCTCCCATCCGCTCCAGTTTAAACAGAGGCTTAAAACACCATAGTCAGAACACGATCTCCCATCTAGGCAGTTCATTGCTTTACTGTAAGAAAAGGTGCTCATTGTGGACAGATTCCTTTCATGCCAGAGCAAAATTAATACATTTAATACTGTAGTACTAAAGGTATGGTGATACAGATCATATTAGTTTGGTGACCAAACAGTGCCTTGACTGACTGCTGTTTAGGGTGCAACATGTCAAATAATTAGTGCCTTCAAATTATTTGTAGGGAAGCAGCTTGTGTCTATTTCTGTCCCAAGGAAAGTCCCTTTCTTGAAACAAAAAAAGAGAAAAAATATGTGTTAGAAACAGGAGGCCCAAGTTGACCAATAGCCATGACATTTAAAACATTAAAGCAGTATGTTCTGCAGCCTTACTTAGTAAACCATTGATTTGCTGATGGTGCTAATGAATGTTTTCTGAAGCTGCAGACAAAACCACAAAAACTTGGTAGCAGCTTTCACTTTTTCCAGTCTGTTATCTAACTCTATCAGGACCTTTACAGAATTTACTGAAGCAGTTCACTGGAGTCAAAGGAGGGGCCCACTGGATCAGAGGTATGTAATTTCCTGGGTATTTCACAAAATCTAAGTTCTTGCCTCATAGTCAACACACAGTGAGGATATTTCCAGAAGGCAGCTCCTGCAGCTACTTGTTCTTTTCCTCCCTAATGGAATTATTTTTCTAATTCAAAAAACAAAATCTGCACTCTTTTTAGTATTCTATTAACTAGGCAGGGCAGTTGGGATTTACATCTCAGACTCTGAACTATTGGAATAGCAAGACAAAACATCATACACCAGCCTTCCCCCGTGTGCTGCCCTCCAAAATGTTTGGGACTACATCTCCCATAATAACCAAAACACTGGCCATGCTGATCTAGGGCTAATATAGCCTAAACCAGGAGCCCTCAAAAGTTTTTGCCAGGGAGCCAGTTGAAAGGTGCCGGTGCCGGGCGCGGGCCGGAAAGGTGGTGCCGGCAGGGCGTATGGGCTGGCGCGGGAGGGGGGTGGGGCATGTGGGCACGTGCCGGCTGAGGCAGGGGGGCAGAGGGCATGCACGGGTGGGCGCGCACAGCAAGGGGAGGCGAGGCAAGGCGGGGGTGGGCTCCTGCCACGGTGCAGCGGCTTGCTTGCTTAGAGATGGTTTTCTCCGAGTAAGACCAAAACCATCTCCTCATGAGCAAGCCGCGAGCATGGAGCGTTGAAAACCTCTGAGTGGGCCGGATAAATGGCCATGGCGGGCTGGATCCGGTCCCCAGGCTGTAGTTTGAGGACCCATGGCCTAAAATATCTGGAGGGCAGCATGCTCCACACATGAGAGCCAGTGTGGTGTAGTGGTTAAGAGGATGGGACTGGGACTCAGGCGATCTGGGGTCTAGTCCCCGCTCAGCCATGGCGCCAACTGGGTGACTCTGGGCCAGTCACTGACTCTCAGCCCAACCTACCTCACAGGGTTGTCATTCTGGGGATAAGATGGAGGAGGAGAATGATGTAAGCTGCCTCGAGCCCTTTGTAGGAAAAAGGCAGGATATAAATCAATAAATAAATGCTGGGGAAGGCTGCCACACTTCCTCATTCTTTAGCTCTCAAAGGTATTCACAGACCGGAACTCTGAAGCTGGAAGAGGCAACATGGAAGCTGAAATTTGGCTCTCAAATGAGGTAACTTGACCTGGTTCTCGTGCAACAACCATTCAAAGTATGGGTTGAGTAGACACTGTCATTAAATCATGGGTTGTTGTTGATTCTTGGGCTGTTGTTATGTGCAAACCTATATTATGTTAACCATAGACAACCCAGACTTCACAAGCCAGTAATCTGTTTGAGCTGATTGTGGTTAACAACTCATAGTTATACTAGAGTGTAGGGTTTACACATATTAATAACTCACAATTCAACAGCAACCCATACTCAATCCTGGATTTAGTATGGGTTGTTTTGCGCATATAAGTCAGAGACAGCAACTCAGGTGGTGGATTTGGGGGCAATTTTCAAAGCAGCAGACTTGTGGACCTTCCAAGCCCCAGTCTCTGGCTTTCCACCCAGCCATCCCATTCTCTGACTGGTTTCCTCCATTTCAAAGTGAGCATCCACACATATTGCCTTCCTATTGCTCTTGTTGGAGAGGAAGAGGAGGTGGGGAGCCGGAAAGGGGCAGAAGAGAGAACCAATTCCTGATGTGGAAACAGAGGCAGCTATTGCCAGGTGTTAATTGTAAACTGAGGGACTGGTGAGCATCCAATCTTTTCTCTAAGGACAGTGTTGTTGTTGTTGTATTACAAACCTTTACATCCCACCCTTTATCCACTTGCAAGGAACCTAAGGCACTGTACATATTTCTCCTCTTCTCCATTTTTATCTTCACAACAACAATCTTCTGAGGTAGATTGGACTGAGAGTCTGTGACTGGCCCAAAGTCCCCCAGGGAGATTCATGGCTGGGTAGACTAGAACCTGAAGCTCCCAGGTCCCCAGTCCAGCACTCTAACCACTGTGCCACACTGCATCTCCACACCACAGTGTTTTAACTTGCCACCTGAAAGATCAAGAGGAGCAGGAATCGGGAAGGGGGGTATTTTTCACTTTCTGTGAAATCAATTAACTAGAATACGCACTTGATTGGAAAACACCCACTGCCTATCCTACATCACAGACTATGGACAGAAGGGCCCCTTCCTTCTGCCGATTCAGCAGAAGCTTCCTGCTGGTGGAACAGAAGCAGCACTGATCTTCATCAACTCTCTTCTGAAGCCCCCAAATCCCCCATCTGCTCAAGAGGATTGGGGAACCTTCCAGAAGAGTGGGGGAGCTGGCAACGGGAGCTGGGCAGAGGGAGGGAGAATCCATGAAGATCGCTGTCTCCCCTGGCGTGGTCCTGAGGGTACCTTCCAAGTGGGACTCTGCAGGGAGTGCTCCCCTGGAGCAAAGGCAGCCCAAAATGTTTTGTTCCTCCATCCCTGCTTCCGTGGTCAAAACCTGCCCAGCCTGGAGGTCAAAATCAACAAGGGCAAAAGGCCAACATCCTCAACTACACTTAAAGCCTGCAAGGTGGCCTGAGGGGAGGGGGGCAAGAGCAAGTCCCATTGGCATCTCCAGCTCTATCCATTTTGAGGTGACTTCCTCATGCTGCCTAAAGGTAGGACCATTCCTGATCTGGAGAAAAAGAAGCTGAATTCAGTCCATTAACGCACAATCCCACCCAGATCTTGTCTGCATGTACCTTCTGGTGCAAGGAAATTCCCCATTGCAAGCAGGTGTGACAATCTGTCTACCGTGAGCCATCCGCTGAGGTAGGCACAGAACAGAATATCTGTGTTGTCCATCCATGTTTTATACATCAACCCCTGTGCAGCACAATATGCTGCCAGAAAGATATTGCGCTGTGTTTTTGAGCCTCTGGAACTGCAATTGCAGGGATAGCATTTTCTCATGGAAGAATTCGCTTGGCTATTTTAATTTCCTTAGAGATAGAAGGTGCTTGAGAGGCAGAAATCTTGAACTTTAATCAAATACAGCATAAGAAGAAGGATTGTCATTATTTTGTTGATCGGAACTAAAGAGGGAGGAAATGCCACACAGTATGTTTTGTGCTTGTTTGTTCATTGCATGGCACATGTAACTAGCTCTTTTTACAAAGCATCGTCCCTCCGAAGATCATTCTAAGGCATATATTGAGGGCAACATCTTTAGTTAGGATTGTTTCAATCAATAGGCTGCAAGACCTTTAGAAAAACAAAAAAGTCATAGAAGAAAAACAGGAGGTATAATGTGAGACATCAGACATGTTCTGTGTTCATTACTGGACAATGTCTCTAGCTTGAAAATATTTTGCATTTTGAGTATTTTTTAAGGACATTGTATAGCATATGGAACTGCCACTCATCTAGAGTACTCATTTCTTATATTAGTCAAATATATTGGCATTTTTCAATATCTAATTCCCAACTCTTTGTGCTTTTTATTTGTACAAGAAAAGGAAAGCCTCATTTCTACCATGTTAGGTATACGTAGAAGCTAGAATATGGGCTCCATTTGCATATGCTTCCAAATCAATCTAATATAGCTTAGACTGCAATCCTATACCTAATCCTAATCCTGAACTCAATGGGACTTAGTTCTCAGTAAACATGCATAGGACTGGAATATTAATCTACCTCAAATGGCTCATGATTCACCATTGCTTCTTCTGTTAGCCAGACGCATCACCACCTAAAGATATCATAGGACTTCATAGGAGGCCCTACAGACCACAGAGATGGTGCCTTTGCCACTTTGTTCTTTTCGTTCTAGAGCCCTTCAGGAGAACCATGTTAAATCAAATGTACACTAACAGGACGTTTCTGCTGTCTTCCTCATCCACTTCATGAGATTACTGGAACTGCTTAGGAGACACGGATCACTCCCACCCTCTAAATCGCTGAGCCTCGGTTTAAAGCAGACTTTCCCTCCCTGGTACCCTCCAGATGTTTTGGTCTACAACTTCCATCACAACTATTGGTCAGGAACAATGGGAGGGCAGCAGGCTGGAGTAGCCTGGTTTAAAAGACCACATACTCCTCGTTCAGTCCAGTTCAGAAGGCCTTTGGCATTCAAGTGCTGAACCGTCCCCTGCTTTTTTGCATACCTTCTGCCTCTGTGTGAAGGTCAGTGCTATCTTTCAAGTCTTCATCCACCCATGGGCGAACCTCTGCCTTCTTGTTGACCTTGTTCTGCTCTGTCTTGGTGCTTTTCTTGCTGCCTTTCAGTATTATTCCAATCAAGACGCAGATTATTGCTATGAGCAGTGGAGTTAGAGAGAAGGCCATAGTTGCAGGGCTTCGGGTACTATAAACACGTCCCTTTAAAATTGCTGCTCATGGGATTGTGACTGAAAAGCACAGAAGGGGCAGAGTAGTGCACGTAATGAAAAAGACCTTCAAACATTGAGTGTGCTTGGCTTCCTGCCAACGGGAACCTTTTGCACTTGATCTTCAACCTCCAGCTATTTCTGGATCCCTTCCAAAGACTAGGTCTGTTTATTTTAACCCTGAATTCATCAAACCTTAGCAAAATTGATAAAAGCAAAACCAAGTCAACCAAAGTAAGTTAAGCACACTAATATCAACAATTTCTTTTATTTATGATAAGATTTATACATCAGTCCAGACCAAAAGATATGAACCCTAAGTTCAAACCCAAATTAAAATTACAGCAGCTAGAAGTTGCTCATCAGCCAGGAAATGTTCATCCAGAAAGGAGTCTTCAGCAAATGTGGAAAGCAAAGTAACATAGATGTATAGCTGATCTGCATTGGAAGGGCATCCCGTAAGATGGGAGACAGCAGATTAGGGTCCGACTCCTGATGGTTTCCAAGTAGATTTCTGATCCATCTGGATCACCAGGAGTGGCTCCTCAGAAGCCTCAGAAGTGAATGGGCAGGATGATGAAAGGGACCAACACTTGTGACTGTTCCTGAGCCCCCATGGCCAATGAAGGCAGCTGGGAGAACAGTGCCCCATGACTCACTCCTCAGACAAAGGCATGCCAGTGAAACCTGACTGCATGTTCAAGGCGTAGATGTCAGCAGCTTAAGTTTCTCACTTTCTTCTAGCCTTTGAAAAGATCCCTTTCACCTGGTTGTAGAATCTAGGACCCTACCCAACTGGCAGTGAGCTGAAACTCTCTCATGATTCCTCTTCTAGAAAACATCAGAGACCAGTGGACATGATGCTCATAAGCTGACCTTGGTAAATATGGGTTAAGAAAGAAACAATAAATAAAAACCATAACCGAAGTCAATACTGAAAGCTGGTTGGCTTAGTGTATGTGCCTTTAGCATTTATTAAGTAACCCCTTCACTTTAATTTAAGTTATGATGCAGTGCAGATGGCACTATACTAATTTAAGTATAGTGCCACCTGCACTTCAGAATTTAAATAAATAGTTCTGTAAACAATAGTATATGACATCATTCCCATCATCAAAACAATCATCACCAAAATGACCAGAAAGATTATGTGTAAGAAAAGCACTGATTACCATACCAAGCAAACCACTCACCCTGACCTGCTTCTTCCAGCTTCTCCTGATGGAGTGACCAGCTGTGCCACTTGCCCAGTCCATGCAAGCTGCTGCCTTACAGCCACCCTCAAGAGGTGTTGCCTTAACCACCCTCCCATGGCCACCCTTAAAATGGCTGTTGCTTTACACCCATCCCAGAACAGGTGCTTATCCAGCCCTGCTCAAGTGGCCATCACTGTTGCCTCACACCTATGTCAAACCCAAAGTCATTTCTTTATACAGGTTGCCAAGCCAGAACAATTCGCTAAGAAAGCTTCTTTATGTTCAACATATGTGACACAGGTATATGCAACATCTGCCCAAAGCAAGACTGATGCACATGGCTGCCAAGCTAATGGGATCCACTTCCTTGGCCTGGTTCACCCTGAGCAAAGTCCTTCAACCAAGTGGTTCCAAGTGGTGAAGTTTAAGAAAATGCAGGTTCCGCTCACAGCAACTTAAAAGGTGAGTGAACCAAGCAGAACAGCCATCTTAATACTTACTTGGACAAAACCCAAGACAATTGCTGAAGCTAATGCAACACCCATCCTCGTCTGCCAAATATCAATTACTTTTTATATCATTCCTTCCTCTTTTAACATTGGCTTTAGGCAGAAAGTTCCTTGCACTCCTGTTGCTCCTTTAAAACTTTTGAATCTTCCAGAACAGGGAGATGACAAGCTATCCCTTTCAGTTATGGTCGGCGTATCTTTCAGGTGGAGCGGATTGGAAAATCTAGTGTAACAGAGATCTGGAAGAAGAGGGAATATTTATATATGTATTGCATTTATATGTTGTCCTTCCTCCAGCGATAGCATCTTCTCATTTTATCCTCATGACGACTCTGTGAGGTAGATTAGGCTGAAAGTAGTGACTGGAGCAAGATAACCCAATGAATGTCACGGCTGCCGGTGGTGAAATCTGGATGTGCCCAGTTCTTGTCTAACCCTCTGACTTTTATGTCGCACTGTCTACTCTAGAAAGTGCTTCCTACTTCCTCTGCATTCCTATCACGTCCAGTGACAGCACTGTTAAGATAATGTATATGTTCCTTTCCCTGCGGGAATGTAGTGTTTAATCTTCCAATGCAAGGCAAAGCAGAGATAGCTCATAATATTTGCAAGTCTATTTCCTATTAAAGCTTATTTTATTTGAACCGATTGTGCTGTGTTGCACTTCAACCTCACAAAATTCCCACAATGCCTCAGTTTATTAAAACCAAGCTAAGTTTAATTAAATTCCATATGCACATTCAAACACATGTCTCTGGGGACTGAAGATAGGAAAGAGGCCAAAACAACTGATGTGAAATACAGCTTATGCTTCTTTAGCATCTCCCTTATGATACAAATTGTGTTTCTTTCAGTCCACTGGAGTCTCCTCTTTATAGGCAAACCATGCCATGATCCTTAGAGTTATCTCTACCTTCACAAAATGCAACCAACTCATGAAAGAAAGCATCTGCCTGGACGTGAACATTGGCTGCCTCTTCTTGCCAAGTCAACATATATGCAACCAACTCTTAACTGTGTGTGAATTAGTGAGTCTAATTCACACCGTGGAGAACAAACTTGATAAAGTTGGGAGGAAACAGCATTTACAATATTTTTTCCAAAGTCTTACAAAATATTTCTTCTAAGCTTTAGATATCCACCTTGAGAATTTCCAATTTTAAAATGCCAATTGTTGCTGAGACTGCAAGACCATTTCCCTTCTATATTTTGCTTTGTTAGGTTACCCATTCTGACAATGTCTCACATGTTGATCAGCCATCCCAACTACTTCCATCTTCACAGTCGATATGTATCCAGATGTTGTCATACTTACTAAAATCACTGAAATCAGCAGGGCTGAAGCGAGCAATGGCTAATTTACATCTCATTGACTTGATTGGTCTAATCTTGCTATGAATAAGGACTTTGTTATATATGGCTTCTAACATGCCACTTTTCCTAGGCTTCTGCTTCCAGGTTCTTTGTGGTATTAAGAATGATTTCTTTACAATTTCTTTTCCTCGGGGTTCTCTTTCTCCTGCCTTTCTGTGTATTCCATTATAAAGCCACTGTGTATGGCTGTGATATAGTGGAATTGGACAAAACTTGGAGGATTTCATACTGACCATTCAGCATGAAAATCCTCCTGACCAAATCAGTATCAGATTTTCCACAATCTGAAAAAGGTCATGAGATGGTTGCAAAGGTTCAGAGAGAACCTGGAGGAGGAAGACATCAAGCAAAGCTCCTACAAATTGTCATGCATGAGGAATCAAGAGCACACCATGGCTGGGGTCGCTTTGTGGCCTTGGGTTGTCCAGACTTGGCCTACACGTGACTAACCCACCTCAAAGATTCTACTACGAAGGATGCTTTCCACCCCCATTTTTTAATGTAAAAGAATATAGTTAACAGTGGGCTACAGCATTCCAATGTGGTACAGACGACTGTGTCCGTGCAGAGAAGATTCTATGCCAAGCAGTAATGAGTCCTTAGATGAACATGTCCAGAGATGGAAATGAAACTTTATTTCCAAGGAAATATTGTTGTGAGTCAAGGAGGAAGGCAAAGAGAGGGTTCCATGAGTTCAGAAGGACTGCTGTCCAGGCATAGACTTTGTAAAGTAATCTGCAGGTCACATACTCCTTTACTAAACCAGCCAGATAGTTAGACAATTGCTTTCTGGCACAAGACCACTTTGAGGAATGTTCTGAACTATCAGAGCAGGCACAATCCTCCCCTATCCCCCCATTTATTTATTTGTTTGTTTACATTTTTATATACCACCCCATAACCCAGTGGGCTTTCTGGGCAGTTTACAATTTTTTAAAAAACATATATCAACCATACAACAATAATTTAAATAAAATGATAAACCCAGTACAACAAAGGTCAACAAGCTATACCAATTAAGATAAATTGAATACACAGCATAGCAGTGATATAACACGCAATTCTTATCTATTAAAATATCTGGCAAATAAAAAGGTATTCACCTAGCACTGAAAAGAACAGAGGAGGGTGCCAGGTGTACCTCCTTGGAGAGCAAGTGCCAAAGATGGGATGCAACTGCTGAGAAAGCCCTTCTCCTAGTTATTACCCCCTGTGATTCTTTTGGGGGTGGTTCCCCGAGAAGGACCTCTGCAGATGATCTTAGGGTCTGGGTAGAAACATATGGAGCAAGGTGTTCCTCTAGATAACCTGGCCACAAAGCATTTAGGACTTTAAAATATTAGCATCAGCACTCTGAATTGGGCCCAGACTTCAACTGGCAGCTGATGCAGTGTCGTGCATGAAGCCCCAACAGAAACAGTGACTCATGAGGAGACCTTGCACTTGACACCCAGGGCCCAACAGTCGACCCCACAACCCAATGCAGAGACAGCTGAGCCAGTTGCTGCGTCTTCCTCTGAGCCCCAGCATGTTGAGCAAACGCCTGGACCTCTATCAGAGACAGAGAGCCATGAGAAAGAGGAAGCTACAAGTTCTACTCAGAAGGAGGCAGAACAAACTGCCTCTTCCCCCTCTGATGCTGATCTCCCTGAGCCGGAAACAGAAGACACAATAGGTGTCGTGGAATTCTCAAAAGCCGAAAATGTATTTTACACTGATACGAACAGCGGCAAAGTTTATTATGTAAGAGGGAGGAAAGGTGTGACTTGGAAGAATGATCCCACGTGGGCTTGGGAAGAGAAGCCATTAGAGAGTTAACATCTGCTTAGCAAGGACCGCTATTAGGGAACTTACCTATAGAGCTGTAAATCTTGTAGACAATTAGCATTAAAGGACTTTAGTTTTATTGCTCTAGAATGTGTGGATTATTTAC